GTGTTCTTTGTCCCGGCATATTGAGAATGAATATATTCGAATTATTCGCTTATGAATAATAATTTTTGGTCCTATCTGCGCAAAACAAGCTTACAGTATCTTGAAGTTTTGCAGTAGTATGCTTAGGTTTGGATTTAATTTTATTAATTATAGGATCCCAAGCAAATCCATCCACCTTCTCTATTGAATAAAAATGTATTGTTTTTAATTTCAATAGCGTCGCGACTCATTTGTTGTAGGAATCGGTTTTATTTGCGAGTATTTGTGGTCTTTCAAATCTGATTTAATGGCAGTGACGATCTTGAACATGTTAACAGTCTGCAAACTTCTCGGAGCGTCATTTCTTCACATCAGCTATATGTTGTTTTACGCGGATTTTTACAGATCATTTTGTTTGTCCTATATAAGAGAGACCCAATTCACAATCCAGTTTGTACAATCCTGCGTCTTGTAGAGGGATATTACACTTGACGGATGGTAAAAATTGACCAATCTTCTTCTGAGCTTATAGTAGGTTTTAATTGAAGATCGGTTCAAGATGTAGCCAATTTTATCTGTATCTTCTCTGAAATATGGTAGTATAGGCACTCGACTCTACTGTGGTCGGCTTTACTCGGTGACGTAGGCTTGTCTTGCACTACTTGCTTGACATGCTAAAGCTTGGGGGCCAGATGTTTTCTGTTACAGATCCCTTGTGCTCTATGAAACACTTGTGATGGATGGTGGTGAGATTAGCCATTTATATAAAGTTTGGTTTGGATCTTTTTCACATACAAAAGAAACGTCGGGAATTAAAACATTAAAATTAAACGCGATATAATTCTTAAAATTAGTTTCTATTAACATCATAATGATCGTTTAGTTTGCCAAACCATGACACGTGTTTCAACAGCTGTATCTACCAACATAATTCAGGTAAACCGGCTCCATCCCATTCACATAAGTGATCTACACGCTATAATTGATACTAATTCAGATAGAACGCCTTGTCTCCGGTTCTCCACACTCATCATATGAAATACACATTAATTTGTGTATTCTGTGAGAGCGTGGTTCTTACTCAATTGAGCCAAATTATTTGTGTTACAAGCATAATATAGCTGCGGCGTGGCCCTACAAAGCGTTTATTTTAATTAAATTTGACATATGCTATCTTGACATTACCGAGGAGCAGCTTAATAAGCTTGAGCGCATTCAAAATTTTGTGTATTAGATTCATAATTGGGCTTCGCAAATATGATCATATCTCTGAATTTCGCAAACAGCTCAAATGGCTCCCGATCAGCCTTCGCAGGAATACTCACATTCTCTCCACTTTGTATAGCGTGCTGTTTAATCCTTCCACTCCTCATTATTTAAAAGACCTTTCCAGTATCTTTCCCTTAACCATAATCGGTTCCTTCGATCCTCTGTCAATCTTTCTCTCTCTACTCCTTCGCACTCTTCCTCCTTTTTTAAGAAATCCTTTACTGTAACTGTTGTACATTTGTGAAACTCTTTACCTCTCCACATTCGTCGTGCTCAATCTCTTCATACTTTCAAAAGTCTTGTTAAATCATATTACTTAGAACGCTATTAGATAAATCACTTTACCTTTTTCTTACTCTTTTCATTTAATCTATTATATTATATCATACATAATCTTCACTTGCCTTTATTTGTATGTATATTCATATTTTTTATTTTTATTTTGTACGGCCCCCTCTATTATTAACTATTGTTTACATCAGTTCTCTACACTAAGGTTGTCTGGAGGAAATCACCTTCAGAGTGATAAGACCGCCTGTTGTACATTTGCTAATTTAGATTTAATTGTATTCGTTTTTGTTTTGTTTTTTAGTGTACAATAAAGAGTAAATAAATAAATTAATAAAATAAATTTATATAAAATTTGAATAACTGTCCTAATCTTTCAGTTTCATTACTATGTGGGGAACTTGCAACTCACACATAATATATTACACAAACATACATTCTCACACACACGCATTTAACAAACTACATTTTACACTAATAACACAAAACCATACTTACCAGTTCGCCGACGCTCATAGGTTCGATCCCGGTGATGTCATCGATTCATTACCATATTTCAGTGCGATGTCATCGCACCCCAAGCGAAACACATTGAAGCCTAAATCACGTTAACATAGTTCCGAAATTAAAGCAGTTTATTTAGAATAGCTCCGAACTACCACTCGGAGCGTTGGCCGCTCCCTGGTTAGAACACCTTCCCGGCGGGAGATCTCCCCTTTTCGTTCCACCGGCCACATTGGTGACCCACATTGAACACAAAATTGAGCAACGTCGAGCACAAGTTCGAAGATGTTAGAACGTTTGCAGGTGACCGCACCCAGGCTCGCTCAACAACTACAGAGACGCCACAAAATGAGCCTATATTAGAACTATGTAAGGTCGGAGTTACAGCGAGGCGAGGATGGAATTACAGCGGAGCTTCTGTAAGCGGGTGGAAAACCAGTACTTGAAGTCCTTCAGAAGCTCTTTAATTCCGTCCTCCATGGTGGCATTACACCGGAGGCGTGGAGCAGAAGTGCGGTGGTCTTGTTCTTCAAGAAAGGCGACAACGCTCTCTTGAAGAACTACAGACCTATTTCCCTTCTAAGCCGCGTCTACGTGCTGTTTTCGAGAGTCATTACGAATCGTCTCGCGCGCAGACTTGACGACTTCCATCCTCCCGAACAAGCCAGTTTCAGTACACCCAGTGCGTGTTGCCAGTGATGACATACGGAACTGAGACGTGGTCCTTCACTGCTGGCCGGATGAGAAAGCTCAAGGTCGCTCAGCGGGCTATGGAGAGGGCTATGCTCGGAGTTTCTCTGCGTAATAAACTCAGAAATGAGGATATCCGCAGTAGAACCAGAGTGACCGACATAGCCGTTGGTTGGATTAGTAAGCTGAAGTGGCAATGGGCCGGCCATATAACTCGAAGAACCGACAATCGATGGGGAAGAAAGGTTCTCGAGTAGCAGCCTCGTATCGGCAGGCGAAGTGTAGGACGTCCCCCCACTAGATGGAGTGACGACCTGTTAAGATATGCAGGAAGTCGATGGATGCAGGTGGCTTAGGACCGTGCTTTGTGGCATTCTTTGGGGGAGGCCTATGTTCAGCAGTGGACTTGTGAAGGGTTGTAATGATGATGATGATGAAGGTCGGAGTTCGTGTACCACCATTTTGGCCTGAGGAGCCAGAGATATGGTTTGCCCAGGTGGAAGGTCAATTTAATATATCCGACATTACAAGTGATGCAACTAAATTCAATTACGTTATTATACTCAGTGGAGGTAAAAGACATTATAATTAACCCACCAACTAGTAATAAATATGACAAGCTTAAGAACGAGCTAATTAAGCGGCTGAGTACGTCCAAAGAGAAAAAGCTCACACAGTTATTAATGCACGAAGAAATGGGTGACAGAAAACTATCACAGTTTCTCCGTCACCTGCAAGGTCTTGCTGGCATACAGGTCTCGGATGATTTTATGATTTTAAAACCATTTGAATCAGCCGTCTTCCATCTGGCATCCAGACATTTTTAGCAGGCCAACCGCATACATCCATCGAGACACCAGCGGATGTAGCCGATAGGATTCACGACCTGGTACCATCATCGCCTCAGGTGGCGTCAACAAGTCGTTCTCATAATGAACCGGTGTACAACGACCTTGCGAAAGAAGTTGCAGCGCTTAGAAAGAAAGTGCAAGCGCTTACTCTAATGCACAGAAGAAGCAGACCACGATCACGCTCTAAACGATATACTCGTAAAGATCGTTCTTCATCAAGGTCTCAGTCCAGCTACAGAAATTTTCCTTTATGCTGGTGCCACTTCAAATTCGGCGAAAAGGCAGATAAATGTGTACGCTTATGCGACTATCGTTCGGAAAACTCCAAGGGACTCTCCAAGGTGATGTCGACCGACGATTGCCCCTACTCAACTCGTCGTCTATTCGTAACCGACCGCATCTCGAAGACTCAGTTCCTGGTCGATACAGGAAGCGACCTTTGCGTCTTCCCTCGGTCGTTGCTACGTGAACGTCGTGCTCGGACTACATACCAGCTAAGTGCAGCTAACGGTTCTCATATAGACACTTATGGTTATGTACATTTAAACTTAGATTTTGGCTTACGTAGAATATTCAAGTGGCGTTTTGTAGTTGCAAATGTAACAAAGCCCATTATTGGTGTAGATTTTTTAAACTATTATAGTATAATTGTAGATTGTCGTAACAAACGTATAACTTATAGTACAACATCTATAGTAGCCACTGCCTCACAAGTAAGATCAACCAATATTTCATCAATTAAGGTTTTAACTGGTAACACAAAATACCACCAAATTCTAACAGAATTTTCTGAAATTACCCGACCAGCTGGTATACACCGCACTATACAACATAACACAGTTCACCATATACATACGACACCAAGACCTCCAGTTTCTTGTTCACCTCGTCGCCTCGCTCCAGATAAACTCAAAATAGCCCAACAAGAGTTCCAATCCATGCTAGATAATGGGATAGACCAAGAACTTTCAGAAGGCCTAGTTCTGAAAGTTCTTGGTCTTCGCCACTCCATTTAGTTCCAAAAAAAGATAATGGTTGGCGTCATTGCGGGGACTACAGAATGCTTAACGCTCGAACAGTGCCCGACAGATATCCGATCAGGCACATTTAGGACTTTGCACATAGTATATCTGGTTGCAAAATTTTTAGTACATTGGACTTAGTCAAGGCTTACAACCAAATACCAGTTAGTCCTGAAGTTGTACCAAAAACTGCGATAACAACGCCTTTTGGACTCTTTGAGTTCCCATTCATTGGTTACAATTTGCTGCACAAACGTTCCAGAGGTTTGTGGATGAAATGACAAGGGGACTCGACTTCTGCTATTGTTATTTGGATGATTTTTTAATTTTTTCAAAGGACGAGGCATAACATGAACAGCATTTGCGTGCAATTTTTCAAAAACTAAAAGAATATGGTATGTTAATTAATACGTCTAAGTGTGTTTTTGGTGCTCGAGAAGTATCTTTTTTGGGATATCACATCTCGGCATCAGGCACCAAACCACTAGACACTAAAGTTGAAGCCATAAAAAACTTCCCATTGCCCACCAATGTTCGTCAACTTCGACGATTTCTGGGCATGGTCAATTTTTATAGGCGATTTTTACCACGTGTTGCAGAAATACAAGCACCGCTTAACGCCTTGTTGACAGGCGTAATAAAGAATAATCAGCCTATTACATTATCTGGTGAGTCTTTAAATGCATTTAAAACATGCAAAGAAAGCCTTTCTGAGGCTGCGTTATTAGCACATCCAGATTGCCAAGCAAAATTGGCTTTAGTCACTGATGCTTCGGATAAAGCAATTGGAGCTGTCCTACAGCAGTTAAAAGAAGACGTATGACAGCCGCTAGCATTTTTCTCCCGAAAGCTGAACACTTCTCAGACACAATATTCCCCTTACGACAGAGAGCTCCTAGCAATTTATGAGGCTATTAAATATTTTCGCTACATGTTAAGAGCAAAACATTTCACAGTATACTATACGGACCATAAGCCAATCAGTTTCACATTTCATGCAAGGAAATCCAACTGTTCGCCTAGGCAGTATAGGCACTTAGATTATATAGCCCAGTTTACAACTGATATCAGACATATTTCCGGTAAGGACGACGTTGTTGCCGATACACTTTCGCGTGTAGAGGCATTGGAGGCGCCTATTGACTTAGAAGCCTTAGCTAAAAGCCAAACTTCTGACCCTGAGCTTGAAAAGCTCATAAAAGAAGACTCATCACTACGCCTGGAAAAACTTACTATACCCTGGAGTCGAACCCCATTGTACTGCGACGTCAGTACACCGACTTCCCGGCCATTTGTAACCAAGTTTTTCCGAAAACAAGTTTTTAATACTTTACATTCGCTCAGTAATCCAGGCGTTAACGCAACCGCCAAGTTAGTGGCAGAACGTTTCGTGTGGCTGAAAGTTAGAAAAGACTGTCGGGAATGGTCAAAAACGTGTTTACCATGCCAACGTTCGAAAATATATCGGCATGTTAGCTCACCTATAGGCACGTTTAAAATACCGCGTACAAGGTTTAAACAAATTCACATCGATCTGGTAGGGCCATTGCAATTGTCGAATGGCTACCGTTATTGTCTGACGTGTGTTGACTGCTTCACAAGGTGGCCCGAAGCTGTTCCAATCGCTGATATAACAGCAGAAACGGTTGCGAAGGCTTTGTTATCTTATTGTATAGCTCGATTTGGCTGCCCCACTGACATTATAACTGACCGCGGTAAGCAATTCGAGTCAACCCTTTTCCAACAACTCGCCAAAATAACCGGATTCCAACACAAACGCACGACGGCTTACCATCCGGCAAGTAATGGACTGGTGGAACGATTCCATAGGCAGCTCAAATCTTCCATAATATGTCATACACGAGAAAAATGGACCGAGTCAATGCCATGAGTATTGTTAGGGATACGCAGTTCATTAAAAGAGGACTTGCAAGCATCTTCTGCTGAATTATTGTATGGTGAACCTTTATTTTTTGACCTTTACCCGGAGAATTTTTTGAGCCCAGTGCCAGCAGCATAACGGACATTACCTAATTTGTATCCCGCATACGCACGTTTGCTCAAAAATTATGTCCAGTGCCTGTCTCACCATAAAAATAAAAAAGGCCTTCATTTTTAAAGATCTTGCCCACAGCAACCACGTATTTGTAGGTGAGGACGCATCACGCAGATCCTTGCAGCCTAAATACAGCGGCCCTTACAAAGTCCTCATTAGAAGCGACAAAATATTTAAGGTCTGGGTTAACGGGAAGGAAGTTACGGTTACAGATGATCGCCTTAAACCAGCCCATATACTATTTGACGCATCAGATAAACCCGATATTAATAATAATGTAAAAACCCCGAAAAATACATAACACGTTCAGAACGTAGTGTAAAATTTACCGATTTTTGTCGCCCTTAGCCAGGTCTCGGGAGGGGGGGTGATGTGGGGAACTTGCAACTCACACATAAAATATTACACAAACATACATTCTCACACACACACGCATTTAACAAACTACATTTTACACTAATAACACAACACCATACTTACCAGTTGGCCGACGCTCATAGGTTCGATCCCGGTGGTGTCATCGATTCATTACCATATAAGGTGCTGTCTCGTGCGGCAACGGCTACAAGCGGGTGGCGTGAGCGCAACGCCCCCTTGAACCTCGATCAGTTGGTTACGTACTACGACGGAGAGAGATTGTTGATTTAGCTTACAGACGCTTGCTATTAAAATATTTACGTGTGTACTAAATCCTGTTATCTATTTTCTCTTAAGCTTATCTCCGCCTTTCTTTATATCTATAAGCTTGTTTCTTCTTGTAAGTGTTGCATTCTCCTTCTGACTATATAATTATTGGCGTGACTTTGTATTTCTGTGCAATAAATGTGTTAGTGTAATAAGTGTTGAATATTATTTATCTGTATGCCCGTTACTATACACATAAAAACAGGCTTCGCACCCACTACAACTAGATTCTCTTTTATTTACTTCTATATAAATAAAATCAAGGAAACCATAAATTGCATTCAATTAACAACCAATAGAAGGAACAATCTTCTTTCCTTAAAGTTTTCAAATCGTTCAATATTATTGTAAATTACAACGTTTATGCAATTATATTTCTGCGCGTAAAAATGAGCCTACAATGCAGAGCCTGTAAATCAAAAATATTTCAATTGACTGTATTAGAAGGTAGATTTGAACATACCACATCAGCAACTGCAAGACTACAGTATAGAATTAACTCCCTGGAACAACAAGCCAGACAAACAAATGTTGAAATCTGCAACGTACCGGAGCGTAGAAATGAAAACCTCATAGATATCATCGAAGCCATTGGAACAGTCCCCATTTTAAAAGCAGACATAGTGTCGATACGTCGGGTTCCTCACGCACACAGTACAAATGATAGATCTATCGGGAGAGGGATAATATAATTGCTGCATATCGTAAAGCAAAATCACTGAGGTCTAAACAGCTTGGCATTCAGGGCCAATCTACCACTATATATTTGAATGAACACCTTACACTACAGAAGAAACAGTTATTTTGTAAATGTCGGGAGGAATGAAAAGGAACTACACTACAATTATTCCTGGATCAGAAACTCAGCTATTCATGTTAGAGAGAAAGACGACAGTCAACCGAGGAGAAGAGGACCTCAAAAACTTCGAATCACTAAAAAGTATTGACTGTACTAATTCAATAAGTCTAGTCGTAATTATATTTATAACGTTTTATAACCGTTTTATGTATTTGGTCAATTCAATCATCTGCACTGACTGCTGTTTTCTCAATACTTGCTTAAAAGAACGAGTGAGCGACTTAGCCGTCTGCTTGAGCATTCAGGAATATTTCTCTCTATTTTTATTTTCAATCTTAAAATTATAACACAATTTTTTTTCTCATCAGATACTAACCATTACAATCTGGCTTTTAACTGTACAATAAGGCACAAATGTATACTAAAATAGCTTGTGTTCATTCTCAACACTATCTTAGCAAAACGAACATAGTACAATGCTCTTTTATTTTCTAAATGAATAAAAGGACTCAAACAAATCACCTTAGTATTTATTATCTAAATTGTAGAGGTATAAAGACCAAATTAAACGCACTTTACATGAATATTTTATTTAATAAATACGATGTTATTGTACTTACTGATATCTGGCTGCTTCCAGACATTGCTAACGGTGAATTTATAGATCAGAGGTTTACAGATGTGACAGAGACCGCTTAACTACCAACAAACAGGATGGTGGTGGTGTACTGGTGGCGGTGCTGCGTGGACTGAGACCTGCCATATTTAATACCAGGATCAATCTCTGCAATCTAAACATCTTCAATGTATGCTGGTCCTAGTACAATCCAGATTAGGAAACATGTAATTAGTGCAGAGTATGTTTCGGCTCGCAGCTCCCCGGATATATATGAAAATACTTTGACCTCTTACTTGATTGTCTTAATAATCCCCTTACTGATAGCTTTTATGTGATTGGTGATTATAATATTCCTGGTATGACATGCGTTCCATCATCATCCTCTACTTCTGATTATTGCAACTAACCTTTACCTTTGAATCTGCCTACACAGATTCCTTATTATTGAACTTTATGACATTTCTAAATGCATCGCAATATAACGGAATCTTTAATTCTAATGAAAAATTACTGTACCTTTTCATCTCTTAACATCTCATCTACTATTATAGCCTCATCGCGCGTCCACTACTTCCTTCTGATTTACATTATCCACCTTTCATTGCGATAATCATGCATCAGACGTATAAACCAACGAAGAGGCGCCCTCTAACCAAGTATAACTTCCACAAAGCAGATTTTGACCTCATTAATTCCAAGCTTGAAAACACAAATTGGACGGAACTACTGCAAACTCTTCCATCTAAAGCCTGCATTGAAAGTGTTTATAAAACAACATGCACCACGTTCTAGTTGTTGTTTCGGAGGATTTCTTGTCTGGTTTTCCGTCCTCTGATTAAAACATTTAAATCTAAACAAATATCCTGGACTAAGTGGAAGAAATATAAAAACCCAAGTGACTACGTACAATTTTCCCAATATAGAAATACCTTCAAGATTCAATGCAAACTATGCTATCGTAGTTATATGGACACTTTAGAGTAAAATATAACTAAAAATATAAAACACTTTTGGACCTATGTATCGAGTTGCAAAACTGAGACTTAAATCCCTTCTACTTTGCGTTACCATAACCTTAAATCTAGCGACTCCGAGACGGTCTGTAACATGTTCTGTGACTTTTTTCAATCAATATTTGAGCACTCTTCCTCTTCTCTTTCGCATTGGCAGCCTCCATCCTGTATCTCAAGTCACGATATTTTAATATCTAATCTTTACTTTACTGAAACTGAATCAGAAATAAAACTGAAATTCTAAATGAACTCAAAAATTTAGGCACTTCCAAGGGTCCTGGTCCAGATGGCCTTCCTCCACTATTTTTCAAAAAAGTGCTGAAAATATGTATAAACCTTTGCATATTATCTATAATAAGTTTTTGTCAGAGAGCGTTTTTCCTAGGAGGTGGAAACACGCAAATATAACTCCAGTTAACAAAATTAGGTGAAAATATGATGTTGAATAGTATCGTCTCATCTCTATTCTCTCCGTCTTGTCGAAGGTCCTCGAAAAATTAGTCCAGAACCAAATTTACCCGATCCTACAAGAGGCTGTCATTGAAGAACTACATGGTTTCGTTAAATATAGATCTACTACTAGTAATTTATATACCTTTACGGCTTTAAAGTATTTTAAGAAAGCTTTCGATAAGGTGGATCATGAGATTCTTCTTAACAAGATTGCATTCGACGGTATTCGTGATAATTTTCTGCGCAGGTTTGCATCCTATATTCAAAGCCGTTCCCAAAAAGTTGTAGTAAAATAATGTAACGTCAAATGACGTTTTGTTAAAATCTAGGGTTCCTCAAGGATCCATTCTTGGACCATTTTTATTTAGTATTTTTATTAATGATATAGACAAATGTTTCCTTAACTCGAATTTTCTATTATATGCCGATGACCTTAAAGCCTACAAAACTATGAAAAATATAGAACACTGTATATCTTTCCAAAGCGACCTAGACGGATTGACAACATTTTGCAACATTAACAAATTACAATTGATCATTCCGACATGTCAATGTATAAACTTTACAAAAAAGAAAAATATTGCCCATTTCAATTATATCCTCTGTAAAAAATCCTTGACCAGAGTAACAGACTTAAGCGATTTGGGGATTCATTTGGACTATAAGCTATAGCTAAGCATCCATATTAATAAAATAGTCAAGCAAGCTTTTAAAATATACATACGGGTTTGTTATGAGTTCTTCTACTGATTTCAAACGAACAACCACACACTTATACCTCTATAAAACTCTTGTTCGCTCCCAGCTTGAATATACCGTACCTATATGGAATCCCTACTATAAAGTATACAAAGAAGCTATTGAGAAAGTCCAAAATAAGTTTTTGCATGCCATATACCATAGATGCCATAAATCTTATTTGTCTCGTATCCCATTGCTGAGAGAATTTGGTGTTTTGTCGCTTGAATGTAGACGTAAATATCTTGAAGCCATAACATTGTATAAAATAGTCAACAACAAATTTAGCAGTACTGAGTTAGTTTCCTATTTAAATTTCGCAGTTCCTAGAAGTGCTCATATACGACCTATGCGAACTCGTAACTTGTTCGCCGTCAGCACATGTCGTACAAATACCGGCTTGTGCGCGCCAGTTCGCCATATGATGCATTCCTATAACGAGTTTTTCAATGATGGTAATATAGACTTATTTACATCTGATGTTCCTGCTTTTAAAAGGTCTTTATTTGAAAAATGAAAAATATAGAAA